CCAGTGATTGTAACAGCGATTTTTATCACCAGGCTAACAAAATACAGTTGAACTTGTCTACAACGGCCACCTTGGGATAGAAGAAAGTGGTCTGTGTAGAGAGGTGGCCGTTGTACACAGTAATTTCAAGGAGTTATACTAACGCCTCTATTGGGATTAATTCAACTCCTTACAGTGGAGTTTTTTTGGGGGGGAGTTATTTTAACTACAAAAAGGAGTTTAAAGAACTCTTTTTCAGGAGTAAAAATCACCCCAGATACTAAGACAACCCCTAAAAAGGAGTTATCCCGTACCTAAAATTTTTTCTTCATTATCAGAGTTAACGTAACTCCAAAAAGAGTAAAAACAGCCCATGTAAGGAGTGAAAGTAACCCCATTTTCGGAGTTATTTAATCTCCAGACTGGGAGTTAAAAGAACTCTTTTTCAGGAGTAAAAACGACCCCAAATTTGGGGTTAAATTAGGAGTTAACGTAATCCCCAAAAAGGGGTTATCCTGTACCTAAAATTTTTACTCCATTTTTGGAGTTATAATATCTCCCTAAATATTTCTGTGTAGAGAGGTTGAAACAAGAGTGAATGTATAGACTTTCTGCCTCATCTTCTGGGAGCGAGGTTGTCAAGCCTTTTAAGGCTTGAAAGTCGTTTTTTTTTTTTTATTTTTCGGGGCTTTAGCAGTTCCTGGCTGGTATCTGGTCCTTGTTTGTAGCACTCTTTCGTCTTAAAAAATGATGATGATGATGATGTTGTGAAAATAGCTCAGCATTTTAGTATCTCTATTTCAGCATCCTGGTGGCAGAGAGATCATGCTAGAACACGCAGGTGAGTAAGTCACCAGTTCTCACATGACGGATTATTTCTCTATAAAACGTTACATGCATTGGAAAGTTTTACGTTGTAGTCGTGCAGTAACGGCGATGAAATGGACAAAAGGGTCATGTTCGTGCGGGGTTGTTATTAAACTTGTGGCTTTTTTGCCTTCCCTCTTGCCCTGGCCGTTGTGGTGGCTCGAACGGCACTTAAACTCCCGAACGTCTGCATTGGAGAACAGAGCTATGCGATACATCCGGAAACTTTGCGTCCCATTTCATTCTTTTTTAGAAGAAAATCTGAACTACTCCTACCACACGAAGGGGGCCCCTTTCAAGTTAAGTCAAGTTAGTATGGGTAATAGCATAATTTATAGTGATATTTTGCATAAATACCACGAGTGATACTTCGAAATAGTTATACGTAATTTGCCAAACATCACGTACAAATCATGCTATTATTTGTTTACACTACTACCCGCAAAAGGTTTGAAATTTTCACATATAGGTATTTCAAATTAAGCTGAAATCCCACTGCTCTAAGCAAATCAAATTGCAGAAATTTCTGATGTAGTAGTATAAAGTAAGGAAAGCAAAAGTGTCGAGTTGGCAATTTCGCTGCGGATCTCTTCAAAGGCTCACTAGGCCTAAGTTCAGTTCTTTTCTTTTTTTGTTTTTTTATTCGGGGAAGAATGACCGCATGGTCTCAGTTTAAACTTGCTCACTTTGCACGTGATCCATTTTCTCCTCCTGTTTTAATTTTAGTGTTCATTGAGTTAAACCTTAACTAATTTCTTAGTGGACATAACTTTTCTCAAGGTTTAGATGCGACCACGGTGTTCCAAGACATCGGTCACTCAGCAGAAGCCTTAAAGATTCTCGCAAAGTACTATATTGGCGAGCTGAGAGAGGTGAGACGCTGAACGTTTTTCGCTACTCATTTGTTATTGCTGTCGTCGATTCAGGAATCCAAATGTACCACGCCCGCCCCTTAAATTAAAGCCTGCAAAAACAGCCTTTCCTCCTCGGTCCTCGTCGTTAGGGACGTTTGCCGCGAAAGGTCCCTAACGACGAAGAGCTAGGAGAGACGGCTTAATAATCTGACGTACTTTCTTTACAGGAAGACAGAATCTATGACCGGAAGCCCAAACATTAACGATCAAAGGTATAGTGTTTTTTAACCTTACGCTTTTTAGCTCAGTTGTAACAAGTACTGATACGAGGAGTGATCGACAAGCGTTTGTCGTGTTTTTGAGAGACAACATTTTAGATTACATTGTCAAGTGTCTTCACATTACAATACTTTTCGGTGTGATGATAATCGCCTTAGGTTTTCGCTATAATAGTTTGGATTACGAGTTTTGTTCGCACTACGACGATAAAAACAATCATGATCGTAAATATCTCCAAGGTCGATAATTCTCTGTGTAGACCGATAAATGTCATACTCGTGTGAGCGGAAGTTGTAAACACGTTTAGTCTGTATACTTGGAGACTTGCTTGTAATAAGAAAAAAGGCGGTTAGTTCTAGTGTCTGTTAACATTCGCTCTGACGTCATAGATTTGCTTAGGAGCCCGTCCTGGTTTATTGCAATGAGAGGCGGTTTTATTTATCATTTGTGTATCACCTCGAAGTAGACCAAAACTGCACTGAAAAAACGCGAGTGCCAAGGCGGAGAACAGGTACAGTACTTAGCACTGTGAGTCTTCGCGGCCCGGTTCCTCTCGGTTCTTTGTTGCTCAAGAAGTAGGGTCCTTGACCCTGGTAACAATTAACAAAAAGTTGGCGACAAAAAGTGCTGTGACCAATGACTAAGGATTGCAGTCTACATTATTCCCTTTGCGGGCCACTCCAGGGATCTTTAGTGTTCTTGGAATCACTTGCCGCCTTGCCGGTCAGTTTTGGGAACATTTTTTTTAGGATCATTTCAGGGGCAATCTACATCTTTTCCAGAGCCGCTTGATCTTCTTTTTAAAATGTGTCAAACTGAATTTGATCGGGCATGTTATTTTTAATATCGTACGACAAACTAAACTGCAGAAAGATAAAAGAAGTGTCCTTCAAGAAGTATAAATGTACTTTCCTCAGTTTTCACCATTATAACGACCACCAACATAACAATTTTGAAAACCGCAAAGGAACCCTCGAGACACGTGTGCCCCTAAAGTTGCAGTTAGAACTCGCAATTTAACTTTTAAAATTGTTACAGTTTGAATGAATAGTTACACTTTGTTTTTCCTTCTCCAGGATCGATACGCGGCGAAACTAGTCAAGTTGGTATCGTCAGCAACACTCCGCCATGTAAACGAGGTAGAAACCAAGGGGAAGTCGTTTTATATAACAGTGCATTTTCCTTTAGTCACCCTACGGAGTACTACCAACAGCATAGGAGCATGTGAAGACGGCAAAGACCAATCCTATTGACATCGGTACAATCAAAGAGGATTTAAAAAGCTGCTCTAACGATTTCGAAGTACCACGCACGGGTAAAAGGACTATATTCATTTCTTTTAAGTTGAATGAGGTACTTTGCTTTCTCGATCGAACCAGTTTTTGTGTAGGTTCGAGTGTATACACAATGTAGGGGTCTTATCTTCTAAAAAGATCATAAAATGAAATTTGTGGTGCATGGCTTATGTATTGTCATTGGAATATAATTAAGCCAGTATCTGGAGTTCATGTTATATGCCGATATGATGTATCATCAGTTGTTTTCCTCGGCATAGAGTCATGATTTTTACTCGTTCAGATTCCGTCTTGAAATAAATAGGTTACAGAGTAGTGTTTTACACATCCTTCTCAAACTCATTAATAATTCATAAAGAAAATTCAAAGGAAATTAATGTTTAATGAGTGTTTGGATATCAGATGAAAAACTGCTCATTTTTGCATCCTTAATTTCTCCGTCAAAAAAGATTTTGTTTGAGAAGAAATATCAAACATTCGACACAGTGTTTCATCACCAGATGAAACACCTCGAAGTTCGTCAAAAATACTCCGCTGCGCGTCGTATTTTCAACTCTCTTCTCGGTGTTTCATCTGGTGATGAAACACTGCATCTCATGTTTGATATATTACATCACCCTCCATTATCACCGCTTAAGTTGTTAACTGTTAATTCGTAACTCACAAAAACTCGACCAGTCAATTTCTTGCACAACATATACACAAATTCCCCGGAGAGTGGCATTCTTGTCATTTTCACTCGACATGAAATGCAAATTCTCTTTCTGGTGACACATGTTATCTCCTATTGTTCTCCTTTCCAGTGTCTGCCGTTCGCCTTTTGAATCATTAAAAGCGTCCACTAGTTTTACTCGACCCTCTACTAATTACTCTTCAGCGTAGTACAGATCAGGGTTTGGGGTCATCTAGACCCTTTAATACGAAGAAACGCCAGCGAGTCCAGAAGCCCATGAAAGACTGTGACTTGAAATGCCATATACATTATATAACTTTTGCAGATACTGAATAAATTGTCAAACACTGGAATCCTACTTCCTGATGCGAATTACAGCTCATCAGAATCAAATTGAGGTTTGAAATGTCACTGAGCCATCTTGACTCTTCCGTCATTTTCTTCACTGTCTCTGAACCATTTCTCATTTTCACTTGAGTAGTTGTGTCACCAAAATCGAAGTTATATTACTTGTGATTATCATCACCATTCACAATGTGTTCGTCTTATTCTGTTGTGCCCGACAGAGCAAGTCTCAGAAGCTATCTTTCTTCTATTACCAGAGATAGCGTTTCTATTCAGAAGGTGGTCCACCTCCCATCACAAAAAGGAAGAAACTTTGAATCGTTACAAAGTCTTGCTAAGTCTCATGAGTAAGTCCCAGCAGCGTTCTACATGGATCCTTGTCAGGTATACAAGTAGGTGTGCAACAGTCTTTACTGTTTGTTATGCATCCATGGCGTCTCGTTGACGAACACTTAGTCACTTAGCTACTATGAGCAATAATTCTTATTAATAGCACTTCGTGTGTTGGTCTTTTTATCAAGTTTTCTTTTTGGGTGCTTTCGCCGATTTTGTATTTGTTTGTACATGATGAGCTGCATTCCGAGAACTTTACAGAACTTAGTTGGAAAACACAGCTATTGGAAAAATGGTTTCTAATTAACGGGTGGTACGTCATAGCTCGCATGGTGATGCCTTTTAATTCTTATAGAGTGAGGTGGCAAGCTATCTTCATTTTGGCTGTTCTGCCCGCGTTTCTCTCCAGATTTTTCCCTCCTCAGTACAGTAAGGTCCCAAGTTATAAATAAATGGCTCATGAGGGCGCCTTTCTTTACAATTTGGTTTATTCGCGCGTGTGCACTTTAAACAAACATGCTGAAGGGTATCTCCCCTCCAAGAATGAGCAAAAGGACAACGATTTGTGATGTTGATATCGGGAACCCCACATGTATGAGTTTCGCACTCCTTTGATTTTTTAGCGCCAAGTACCCAAGCTCCATGATGAAGCTTGCCTGCCTCGTCAACATACTTGGGTGTAAACTTGTACCTTTCTGTTCCACGAGTAACCTCAATGGACTTCCATTTGCGTCCTTGTGCAGAAAAAGACGTTCCAGGGCCACTCCGTGGTCGGCTTGGGGATTTTGGTAGTTGTTCCTCCTGTCGTGAACGCCCTTGCTGCACAGCGGAAGCATACGAGACAGGGTGAGACGATGTGCCTGGTTGGTAGACGTTTTCAATACTGACCCAGGATGACATAGCACTCCTAGCGTGGGTATTAAAACAACTGGACGAAACAGCAGACTTTTCTGGTTCTCCGGGAACGTCGGGGGAGCCACTGATTAGCGTGTTGAGCAAATTTGGCACTGATGAGCTCATATATTGTTTTTCCTTTGATAGTGGGCTGATGGAAATATCGGAAAAATCCCCAGCATTTGCTGCTACTGCCTTTTGTCCTCTTTTCGGATTCCTCGGCTCATATTGTTTTTCTCTTCTTGGTACAGCTGCGGTAAGGTTGTCCTTTCCATTTGCGTAATCGATCAGAGGGAATTCCCAATCGAAAGTTTCGATGTCCTTACGACTTAAGATGGCTGCGTAAGTATCATTGTCAACAGGGTCATATGCATAAGGTCCAGAAAGAGAAAAGCCAACGTAGAACCACAAGTCGTCTTTACTTTGCTTTGGGTAACGTTTGTCGTCAAAACGTAGCTGAATTCCTTGGTACGTTATAACACCGTTGAAGTTGACATCCTTTTGACCGCACACTCGTTCTAGCTTCTCTGAGATCTCTCTACTTCTCCAGAGGTTGGTTTTAGATTCCCCCTTTTCAAGCGATCGAAACTGTTGACTGTTTGCAATGGCGTACAATCCAGTTCCCTTTCCAAGAAAGTATTCTGCACCAGATTTCCGGAATCCTTTTCCTGTCTTCTTCAGGACGATTTTGTCGCATTTCTTGATTGATTCTTTGGCGGAATAATTGAAGAACGCGAGCCGTTTATCTGGAATTGGGAAATGAATCATGTAGTTAAATAGATGGGCCCATTCTGAATCCGGAAATTTCGACACCCACATGGTCACAATTTCGTCCAGCTCTTCGACGGATGGTTTCTCTTGTAAACGAAGACAAGCCTTACAACAAATAAGCATGTCATCATGACTTCCATAGCCACGAGAGCAAAGCACTTTAAGCGAGTTATAAATCCGGGAAACTTCTCCATCGCTTAAATTAAGCCATGTGCTGTACGTGGTCTCATTGTTTATGAAAAGAACATCTTGTACAAACTGTTGGCAAAGAGCCTGGGCATCCCTCGTAAACGGTTGGGAAGACGTCGTAACTACCATATCACGCAGCTGGCTTCTATCGAAACCCGTCACTTCATAAAAGGTTCTTCGCAATTTCAACGCCCTCAATTTGGCATTAATTAAACCTCTGATTGCATTGTCACCATAAGTAGTCATGAGTCGGAACTTAACATCTCCGAAAATTTCATTAAGAAGACCAAGTGTCGTAGAACTTAGATCTTTTATGTAGTTGTGTTCTTCCTGGGTGAGTACCTCTTCCAGTTCACTTGGAATATCAGCTGTCTTTAGATACTTTGTAATGCTTTCACCATCTAAGCGAAAGAACGGCAAACCTTTGACTATTTGAAGAAGCGAGACAATGGCTTGAACTTTCCCTATCATTGAATAATAGTTGAGCTCATGAGTAGTACTAAGTGCCTTGTCGTAGACTTCTAGTGCTTTGCGACATACATCAATCACTTCAGTCATGGAGGCGGGAAGGGTAGGCCCGTCCTCTGATTTGAAATCTCTTAGCTGCAGAAGGTACAGAGTTCCTTTGGTCACATAGTGATGACTGTACTTAGGCTGTTGGTTAATCGCAATATCAACGGCAATGTGTGCTGCTTCGATACCTATTTTAGGCATGGGCAGCTTAATTCCTCGTTCTTCAATCATAGTTGTATGAAGACGGCAATGTTCCTCATTTTTTGCTTCCATCTCATTCGCACGCATCTCATAGCCCATGAATCGCGCCAGCTGCTGCCAAGCGTATGCCTTCTCCTCCACTTCAGAAGCCATTAGACAGATCTTAATGAGTAACCGAAGGGCTCTTTGAATGCCATCGTTTCCCTCCAGTATATCTAATATTAGGGGAGAATAGCGCGTTTTCACTTCATAAAAGCCAAGTACATCGTCTTCGAAATCTGAATCGATGCTTTCATCATGCGTTTCATTGTACTTCAGATACACTGGATCTGAAATTCGCTTTCGATCTAAGAACACCTTAAAAACTTGCTCCTTTAAAAACTTGTTGACGTAGGCTTTTTCCTTTCTGAATCTGTTCCATCAAAGCTATTGCTGTTTCTTCAACATTGATTCTTGATGTGACAGCTTCACTGACCAGAGAATGTGCTGGTCTCCATCCGTAGTAACCATTTGTTTCATCAAACCCTTCGAGAAGAAGTCCACCAAAGATTTTGTGGATGTGCTGCATTAATGCGCATTTTTCTTCATTCTCGTCACTGGCTTCATAGAGCAAGTCGGTGACAACAGGGTGCGGGAGAATGGCTCGGCCGTCGCTGTAATAATGAAGAAAGCAACAGAAATTAAGAACCGTCTCATGAATTTCTTGAGAATCATTCAAAAAATCAAGGGTACTCTTGATGTGGTTCTGAAGCCTTTCCTCAATCTTGTCATACTCGCGTCCAAACAGCTCCAATCCGAACCAAATGAATCGTTTCTCCCTCTCAAGAACCTCCTCTGCTCCCCTTCTTCGCTTGCTATCGCTTGTGATATTAATCAAAATATCTTTAACCAGACTCATCTCCTTAATGTCCAGTTGTCGCAACGTCAAATCAAAATGCGAGTTTGCACTTAACTTTCCAATTGGAAATGTGGATAGAATCACACACTTAGTCTGCCTTCTTGTGATTTTCTCAGTTAGTCGTCTTGTTTCATTCTCAGGAAAGTTATCAACAAGAACGAGACAAGGAGGGGCAAATTTAAAGTTTTTTTTTTTCGTCGTACGTGATTCCTTGGAGTTGCTCGATTTGATAATCTGTGTTGGTTGTGATTGCCTTAACAACAGCGCAACGGTATTGCGTACGTTTTTTCCAAAGGATTCTGCGACAAAGCGTAGTTGCTCCAGATCCAGGCTCGTAAGTAACGGTAACGGTGATGACGTGAGAGCTGGTGTCTTTGCTGGGCTTTGACAATGTCTTTAAAGCTTGTTCAATCTTCTGCATCGTTTCTTCTTCCAGTGTTCTTTCAATGCAATGGTTGTGAAATAGATTGGTTTGACTAGCTTGTGCACCCTTGTAAAAGGCATTTCTGGCTTTCTCTATGTCCTCTACCAATCTCGGCAACCGCGGATTTGGAACATAGACTTCAAGATCATCCCACGAATGAATCATCTTGTTGAACACCTCTTTCAACAACCCAGTAAAAAAAGGAAGCTCCGTTTTAGCCCCTCTTTCCTCAAATTTAGTTGGTCCGACCATATCGCGGACAATTTCTCTCAAGAGTGACCAAGGTATATCTGTAATGGAGCAATCTCTGAGTTCTCTTTGCAACCTGGAAGCTTTGATGAAGGCATCTGTTACGTGTTTGCTTTCGCTGATAACAGTAACGCAATTGCTGGCCGAATCTCCAAGGATGCTGAAACAACATTCCATCATGTCAACCATCTCTTGAATGTTACTTTCATCAAGACCTAGGAACAAGCACATGAGCCGCCCAAGTGGACAACAGAATTTGTAGGTGGAAAGAGCTCGATAGAAACAGTCCCTGGAACATTTTATCCAGTCTCCTTTCTGCATTTCCTCATTTCCCAAGATCCAGGTCGTTCCTCTTGTCGACAGATCGAAACCTTTGTCCGGTTTTCCCGAAATCCAGTCAGATGGAGCTTCTTTAAAATCATCTAGGCTTCTGAGTTTTGCTCTTGGTGCATCAGTTGTTTCGTTGCAGGCATAGTACAAACCATCCTTTTTAGAAGTAGCGTCAAACAAATCAAATACTGCAAGCCAAGGAATATTCTGAAGGAAAGCTGACTTCGGCGTCCCTCTGTACCGCGGAGGCAACTTGTTTGAAATCAAAACGTAGCCAAAGTCTTTAAAGTTCAAATCACGAAGCCTCTTCTTTACCAAAGCACTGAATTTTTTAACGTCCGAGTCATTTGGGATGGGACCTGAGATAAAGCGATATGAAGAAATATGTCAACTGTGAGATTCATCAGTTGTCAGCTTATCAGGCTATCACTTTTTCGCTTTCTAATCAAATGAACTTACGGTAATTATAAGTAATTTAAGGAAAGGCCCCGCTGCGGGTCATAGGCCACAGGCTTGCTAGTAGCAAAACCCAAATTGCGCAAGGTTCGTTTCGAAAAATTCGGCTAGATATACATTACAGTATTCTTTTTAAGAGTTTAACGGAATCGTTTGTATTAGTTTTTAACTGATCTTAACTGGAAATAGCTGAGTCCAGAATTCCGGGAATGGCAAAATTACTTGTGTGTTTGATGTAATCAGTTCTCACACTGCTGCTGTACTTTTGTCTTAAGATGATTTCAGTGTTATTTCGCTTTTGATATTGGGAAGGGCTTCTGTCCTCCAGATTTTCCTCCCTCTTTCACCCGCGGTGGTTCTGATGAGCCATGATCTCTCTACGCAGCTGGCCAGAACACGTCAAGCCGACATATAAAATATGTACATCAAAGCGGAAATAAAAAGGTCATAGAACTTCTCGTAAATAATAACACTAGGTATGCTTACCCTCAAGTGACAGCTCTGTTCCTGTACAAACTAAAGAAGAAAAAATTGTTAAAATTGTTTTAAAATGTAAAAACAAACTCCCTCACTCAATATTGTTTTACAAGCCGGATTTCAAGGATCGACTCTGGTCCAAAGTGTTCCACCTACTCAACCAAAGCTCAAATCATCGTTTACAACGACATAAGGCATTACTACTCCCTCCTTCTTCGAAAAGACGCTTAATGACTGCAGGGTTGCCTCTATCTCGTATTGCGCCGTTACCCTATTTATGTTCGTAAGCACAGATATATAAGAGGCATATGGCAGTGAAAAGTCCTTTGTGTGAGTAACGGAACTGACAAGACGGTGGAAATTAGGGTTCTTATAGCAAAGCTAGTCTCATTTTGCTGAAGCAAAAATATAAAGATGTGACACTCACCCAGTTTTGTCACCCTCTTCCATTCCTTGTATTTTGCTGCAAGAGGTTCCCTCACTTGCCGATTAACTTCGTGTTGCTTCACGTTAGTTGAAGCACCATTCGTCCTAATGACAACGTCGTCGTAGTGATCTTTTACTTTGTAGATTTCACTGAGGGCCTTCTTCTTCACGGATACATTTCCATCTTTGTCAACTCCTCGTTTCTCTGCCCAGGATTTGCAAAAATAAACGTTGTCCTCGCAGAACTTCCAGTCTCGACTCACCTCAATTTCGATGACATAAAGGCCTGTCCGACGTTCTTGGATTACTACTGGGACAAACTCTATATTGACACAATTTTGCTCGCCTCCCTTCTGAAGTGGGCCATCATCGCTCTTTATGTGATCGTCAAGAACAAATTGAAAAGCTTTCATGATATCATCAGTGGCATCGCCTTCAACATCGAGTCCGAGAATTTCTCCTCGTTTAAACTTTGAACATTGTTCTTGTGAATCTCCAACGCCAAAGTAGATGATCCCCTTACTGTCAGCATTCAAGCAGGCGCAAATGAACTTTTTTGCCTTCTCCATGATTTTCCAAGGTAGCGTTGAAGGGTGTGCACTTGTAAAAGATTTGAATTCCACCTCTCTATTCTCTTCTGCATCTAGGACAAATCCTTTTTGATAGGCAGCTTCCTTTCCCTTGACTCCGAACACTCTTGGGGTACCTTAATCAAAGTCAGAACAAACAACCCATCAACAAAACAAAATATTTAGCAAATTGAATCGGCGTTCAGAATGGCTTTGCTACATGAAACATTTCTAGTATAAACTTAACGCGTACGAGATAATGGCTTTAAATAGATGGATAGCGTAATTTATGTTTCTTAGGGCATTTTCTTTAGGACCTTTTCAGCTATCTTTCACTGATTCACCGAAACCTTCGACTAGCTATTAGCGCTAAGATAATTTATTTCATTATGGCAAATTACTCACATTTACCAACTACTTCAGAAACTTCCTGGCGATCTCCGACTTCGGTTCTACTCCTTTGGTTGGAAGGCTCAGCAGGTACTTGCTGATCGTTAGGGGAAGAATTGCAACTTCCCTCGTGCTTCTTAGCGGGGGCATCTATTTCACTCTGTGCTTTTACCACGGTTGGTGCGCTTTCTTTTGTAGCTAATAGTTCCTTTGCAGTAAAAACATCGATCTCAGGGGTAGCATATGTTTCACTCTGTGCTTTTTCCACGGTTGGTGCGCTTTCTTTTGTAGCTAATAGTTCCTTTGCAATTAAAACATCAATCTCAGGGGTAGCATATGTTTCACTCTGTGCTTTTTCCACGGTTGGTGCGCTTTCTTTTGTAGCTAATAGTTCCTTTGCAGTAAAAACATCAATCTCAGGGGTAGCATATGTTTCACTCTGTGCTTTTTCCACGGTTGGTGCGCTTTCTTTTGTAGCTAATAGTTCCTTTGCAGTAAAAGCATCAATCTCAGGGGTAGCATATGTTTCACTCTGTGCTTTTTCCACGGTTGGTGCGCTTTCTTTTGTAGCTAATAGTTCCTCTGCAGTAAAAACACCAATCTCAGGAGTAGTATCTGTTTCACTCTGTGCTTTTTCCACTGTTGGTGCGCTTTCTTCTGTAGCTAATAGTTCCTTTGCAGTAAAAGCATCAATCTCAGGGGTAGCATCTGTTTCACTCTGTGCTTTCTCCACGGTTGGTGCGCTTTCGTTTGTAGCTAATAGTCCCTTTGCAGTAAAAACATCAATGTCAGGGGTAGTATCTGTTTCACTCTGTGCCTTTTCCACTGTTGGTGCGTTTTCTTTTGTAGCTAATAGTTCCTTTGCAGTAAAAGCATCAATCTCAGGGGTAGCATATGTTTCACTCTGTGCTTTTTCCACGGTTGGTGCGCTTCCTTTTGCAGCTAATATATCCTTTGCAGTAAAAACATCAATCTCAGGGGTAGTATCTATTTCATTCTCTGCTTTTTCCACGGTTGGTGCGCTTTCTTTTGTAGCTAATAGTTCCTTTGCAGTCAAAACATCCTTCTCAGGGGGAACGGCACCGGTTTTATCTTCTATGCTCGTTAGCCTTTTCGCGCTTTCTTTTAAGCAGGGACCAAATTCAACTGATTTCAAATCCGTTGAATTTAAGTACGCATCTGATCCATTCATCGTTGCATGTGTACCCGACATATCTTCTTGTTCAGTTGATGCTTCGTTGATGGCAGAGGCAACCATCTTCTGGATAACAGTCGCCAACGAATTGTTTTTTGGGTCGGATATTCCCAGAACTTCCCAGGTTGTATCCCCTTCGTGACGCTCACACACCTCTGTGTTTTTGTGATCAAAATCAGTTGGCGTAAAACCTGTCAAATAAAAATAAATTTGAGCCAATATGCTTCTGTCTGAGCTCACTTCACATCAAATTATGGTCTCTCGACCACCACGATTCACCATTGTTATCAAATTATGATGTCCACTTTTCACTGACGATCTGAGTTTAACTCTTGGGAATATTGTTATAATTTATTCTACTTTCCTTTCTGTCCTATTAACGTCCGATGTTATGACAAAAGTCAACGAGTTTTTTGTAAACTAACTACATATCATAACCGGACAACAGTCGTCTCCAGGACAACAATCGTAGCGAATTAGGCTATGTTCACACTATACCGGATACCTATTGCGACTGCACGAAAACCATACCGGATAGGGCTTTTGTTTACACATAAGAACAGTGATTTCGTCGCAATTGCTGTAACGAAGCGAAGCTGCGCCGCGGCAATCTCTAAAGTGGAGAGTCACATATCGGATAGGTGTTCACACCACACTGAATGGGTTTTGTTCGTGTCGGTAAGAAAAGCTATCCGCAATAGTGTTAACAACTTAAGCCTTAATAACCATGCATCGCTTTGTCAGAGCAATGGAATATAGGTTGTAACCCATGTTGGTACTAAGTCAGAAAACAGACTTTGTTAAGTCAGACCTTTCTTATGGAATGTTAACCAACTACAACTGATTCGATTTATTGATACAAATTCATGACTAACCCAAAGCTCCTCTTGGTTCTGGTCTTGTTCCCCAGCTGTTGTCAACATCCTTTATTTGTATTACTTCTTCGGGGCGAACATCTAGCACATGGTCCTGCTTATTTGCACGTTCCGTGATTGGAGGCACTTCGTCCACTGACCCTCCTTGGTACACTTTTGTGATGGTAGCATCATTAGAATCTTGCACCTTATTATCTAGTTTAATAGAATTATAATATTATAGGATGCCAAGTAAAACAGGCTATATGTATTCCGAGAGTGAGTTTTTGTGTTGCTAACGACGTTAATGGCAATGCTATGATTGTTACCGGCTAAATAACAAATGAGGAGTTCGTAGACTAACCCAACTCAAAGAGATCTTTGCGGAGGGATTTTATCATTGTACCAAGTGCGGACCCAAGAAAATTTGATAAAGGGTGCGTTCGATTTAGAGTTGGAAATCCGGATTTCGGATTTGCAATCGAACGCGAAATTCGAAAACGGATTTCAACGCTGAGATATCTGGTTTTGGATTTCCTTTTTACCGTTCGATTAGGAAATCAGAAAAAGGATTTGGAAAACTGTCCTTAAGAACAACGGTCTTGCACGCGCAAGCATAATTAGCAATAGAAACGAGAATAGTTTTGCAAATCCTTTTTCGGATTTCCCAACCGAACGCTAAAAAAGAAATCCATGAAATCCGCATTTGGATTTCTTAACTGAAATCCACCCTGAGGACAGCTTTCTCAGAACTGAAATCCGTTTTCAGATTTCGCTTTCGATTGCAAAATCCGAAATCCGCATTTCAAAATCTAAATCCTGATTTCCCGATCGAACGAAACTAGAGACTTTCCAAATCATGCACTCGGCACAGCTGTTCATATCTCCCCTTCCTCTTCTCCGAACATCGTTTTCCACTAGCTTTCAATTACATAGACTTTTACATGGCCCACATTTGGTAGGTCATGCACCTCGCCCTTCCCTGGATCCACCGTTGTGTTCATTACTATGCTAGGCGTTATATACCTACCCAAGAAAGCACTCTGACAGGTGTTAACGAGCCAATGTTGATGCTGTACAGTCCTAGATACATAATGCGCATCGTCCGTTGTTGAGAAAATTTTTATTTCTGCCATCGGTTTATTTGGTAACTCTTCAGAGACGTTTCCTAGACTTTCTGTTTCGCTGGACGAATTTGCACTCTTAGTGAAAGAGATAACCTCAGTAGCAATCGTATCCTGCATTTCCGTGCCTGTCTCCTGGGGGTCTTCTCTCAGATGGAGGCTTCCTTTTGTTAAAGACGCGTTTAGAAGCGTGTTACATTTGTCCTCAGAATCATAGTTAACCTTGTCTTGAATGGGCACTTCTGTGTCTGCAAGATAATACAAAATTCAGCGTTTCAAACAAATAGAGTACTCAAGTGATGACGTCATAAAAACAAAATTTCTGAAATTATGGGATTTGTCAGGATATTCTGAAAGAACAATGTCCAAGAGGCCTACTTACCAAAAGTGAGCATTTCGGGGCAAATTGTCTCTCAGATGTTAGCAGGTTAAACTCAGAAAACTCCATACAAACCCTTCTAATTTTTTTTTTGGTCGACCCCAAAAAAATTTAGAACGGTTTGTATGGAGTTTTCTAAGCATAACTGGGCTACGATCTCAGGGACAATTTGCCCAGAAATGCTCATTTTTGGCAAATAGGCCTCTTGGGCATTGATCTTTCAGAATATCCTGACAAATCCCATAATTTCAGAAATTTCGTTTTTATGACGTCACACTTTAGTACTCTATTCCAGCAAGCATGTAGTCAGTTACTAATACAAAAAAAGATATGTGGGTGTTCTGGACGAACTGCTAACATGAAAAGTTTATCAAAAGTTGACAGCACAGAAGAGAATTTCCAAGAACGGGTGAAGGATATGGATATGGTGAATAAGCTGAATAAGGAACACCTTATCTTGCACTCTCGCCACCTCCAACTTGTCCTTAGCCTCTTTAAAACATGAGGTTAAAGGTCATAGATATCTGTCAACCCCATTTTTCACAACAGGTAATTGAGGGGCATATCAAGACCGTTTTGAGGAAAACTCCACCTAGAGCGTTCAGTCCAGTTCAGGCTCAGCTTAGGAAATTAGACGCCTTTATGTGAAAGAGGATTGTCTGCTGATATTGTCAAAAAAACAATGCTTATTACTAATTTTTTTTTTTTTTTTTTTTTTTTTTTTTAGGCATGTTTATAGTGGAAGGTGCACTTAGCTAGTGAGCTAATTTACAGGCACTCCACTCAAATATTTAGAAACAAATAATTCAAATGCAACATAACAGGATTAAAAACCCCAACTGGCAGAAGGCAACCAGTTGGCTATTTACAAGCGTGGCCGAGAATTTGAACTCGGGACGACAGAGCACAAATCCAGCAAGTGGCCAGAGCGGGACTCGAACCCGGGACCGCCGGATTGCGAGTCCGACGCGCTGACCACTCGGCCACGCTGCCTCCACTGCCTCTAATATCTGGAACAGCATTTTTGAAAATACTCCATTTTTCGATCTTTTACCACAGATACTTTTGTAATATTATGAACATTTACAGATAGAGAGTGCAACGAGAATTTCCAAAGCCAGTGGCTTGGTCTGGGACCAAATTGGTTTCTGTGCTTCGCGTTGATTTTGTGTTTGCTCAGTGTAATTGGCTCATTTTAATTGGTTTTTACAATACTCAAATCAAAAATCTTTCTAATTTCTCAAGTAATCAATATTAAATAAATGTAATTATTCTAATGATCTTGTAAAATACCAGGCTGATTCGACTCTTTCTCTTCTGGGATTCTATCCAACAGTTGGTCTCCCTCCATTGTCGCATCAACAAGCGCACGTTTAGGAGACTGGCTTTTGGGTGCTTCTTGCTCCGTAATGGGCTTGTTGATTTCACGTTTCTCTTCATCTTGTTGTGTTGTAATCTTAGTGGCAAACTTTGCGTCGTCAGTTTCGTATCGTTTATCTTCACTCAGTTGACTGGAATCAGTTGGAGACTGTGTTTGTGTGGAGTGTTGGTTTAAGTCACGTGGACTGATGGGAACGTTCTCAGTATGCACATGACTGGGCCTCTTCTCTTTTTCAGGCGGCTGAGGTCCAATATCCAAAGTTTCTGTTCCAGAACAACAAAACTTTATTTTAGTATCCTTTAACCTCAACCTTTTTTACCCCGCATAACTGTAACATAACGTCCCAATACTCTATTTCTTCGAATTAGATGAACATGTAGCCAAGGCTTCCAGCATCATAATAGCAAAAACAATCAGTGTCATTCCTTAGATTCTTTTAAACTTGTGAAGCTCCTTTAAAAAAGTCAGCAGTGCCCTTCACAGAGGGGCGTCAAAATGACCGCAATCGTCATGACTCAGATGACTTGATCTCGGCAACGTTGCTCCCCGGTATCAAAATAGTGCAGGAAGTAGAGGAGACCCTGTCCTCCGGTCATCGCCATAACGGTAACCGATACTCCCCTAGGACGAGATTGTTGTGGATATCGCAGCAAAGTGAAATTTCTAACCTGATTGTTTGTGATATTTGCTGAACCAATGTCTGCTGAATATGAAGGCTTGACCAAATTGTAAATCCAATTCCTGCAAAAGTAGATCGTGTTCTTCAAACAACCATTAACCGGTTAAACGTTAAAAACCCTATTTCCTTGACGAAATGCTGTTCTTTCAAGCCTAAGTACCGACATGTAAGTATCTGTTCAAAATCTCTGGTACTATACCAAGGAAAGAGTCGCGACGTTAGCGTTAGTCAATGCCAGAACCGCCCATCCCCGCAGGCATTTGACTGGAGCTTTGCTCCGTACAGTGGGAGTGGGGAATTTGACCCAAATTGATGCCCGCCCAGTCGGGCATTTGACTTCGTGTCAAAACGCTGGTCAGCGTCACAAGAAAAGGATTTCGTGATTCTTCCCGCATTCAGCAGTTTCATACCCTGGGTGCCAGAGTGGTTACGGTCAAGTCTTTATAGTGACCCGCGCGAAAAGACTTTAGACTAGA